AAATTAAAAATCCCTTTTTTTTAAAAAAAAAAAAAAAAAAAAAAAAAAAAACCGTTACTCATTTAACGATATGTTTTATATTAACGAAATGAAATTATTGGGAAAAAAAAAATAATATTTATTATTTCTATTTGATTTTTATTAATTATTAATATAAATAATCTTATCGTCATTGAAATTATTTTAATTTTGATAAATAATAATAATTAAAAAAGAGGAAAAAAAGTTTTTTATTTATAAAAATTTATTATTCAACAGGTCATTTGGTTAATTTGAAAGGTTCAAAATGGCGGAATTTAAGAGTTAAATTAACGCCAACATTTACATCGGGAAAAATGAAAAATATGTTTCCAATAATGATAGAATGTGGATATCAAATGCAAAATTATTTGTCGAAATATGCACGAACGGGTGAAATAATTGAATTTAAAGAAATATTTTCAAGATTTACAACTGATATAATATCATCTTGCGCATTCGGAATAGAAACAAATTCAATAAATAATCCCGAATCAGAATTTAGAAATTACGGTAGAAAAATATTCGAACCAAGTTTTTTTTTCGTCATAAGATTTATATTAACAAGTTTTTTTCCAAAAGTTAGAGATTTTTTTGGTGTGAGTTTTTTTTTTTTTTTACTTAAGTAACGAGGTATTTAAAATTACTTCGAGATATAATAAAGTAAATAATAATAATAATAATATTAATTTTCAGTTGCGTTCGATACAAAAAGACGTATCTGATTTTTTTATAAATGTCGTTAAAGAAACGATGGATTATAGAGAAAGAAATAACGTTAAAAGAAATGATTTTATGGATTTATTAATTCAATTAAAAAACAAAGGAAAACTCGATGATGTCGATATAGATGATAAATATAAAAAAGATTTAGTATCTGAAGGTAAATTGATTAAAATTAGATTTTTTTTTTTAACACAATGACTAATTTGTACTCTTACGTAAATTTTGTGATATATAACAACAACATAAACTTCTTTTTTTTTTAAACTTTCACAAAAAAACTCATTTTTTTTCATTAATTTTACAAAACTGACAGTTTTTTTTTTTTGTTTGTTGTTACAGAACAAACTTTTTCATTAAATGAAGCAGCTGCACAAGCTTTTGTTTTTTTTGCTGCCGGATTTGAAACATCTTCTACGACTCTTTCATTTGCATTTTACGAATTGGCTATAAATCCGGAAATACAAAAAAAATTACAAAACGAAATCGATGAGGTTTTAAATGAGAATGATAATAAATTAACGTATCAATCGATTATCGATATGAAATATTTGGAACAAGTTATCATGGGTAAAACAAGTGGATTGAATAAAAAATTTTATCGAAATTTAAATAATTTTTTAATTTTTTTTCACCGACAGAAACTCTGCGAAAATATCCACCCCTGACATTGCTAGGAAGAATGTGCACGACGGATTATGAAATACCGGAAATGGGTGTAAAATTAGAAAAAGGAACAAGAGTTATAATATCATTATTGGGTTTACAAAGAGATCCTGATCATTTTCCAAATCCCGATCTATTCGATCCCAATAGATTTTCCCAAGAAGAAATTTCGAAAAGGGATCATTTTACTTCCATGCCATTCGGTGAAGGACCGAGAAATTGCATCGGTTAGTTATTAAATAATTATTATCATCATCGTTATTAAAAATTAATTTATTATTATTATTATTATTATTTCAGGTAATAGATTTGGACTTCTTCAAACAAAAATTGGAATCGTATCCGTTCTATCTAAATTTAGTATAAAACCATCGGAAAAAACTCCGATTCCTATGATTTTTAGTAAAAAATCATTTATATTAACTCCAGCAGCTGGAATGTTTTTAAAAATAGTCGAAAGATAATAGGAGAAAATTTTAAAAAAAAAATACGCGCCAAAATTTTTAAAAGAAAAAAGAAAACTTTCTAAGAAATAATAATAATTTTTTTTTAAAATCGGAAATAGTAATTAATTTTCTAGCACTAAGTTTTTTTTTTTAATTAAAAAAATTTCACAACAATAATAAATGACCAAATTTAGTAAAAGTTATAGTTTAAATGAAATATTTTTTTACGTAAAAAATAAAAAATGTAGAAATTTAACAAAAAAAATTAATTTTTCGGTGTTAATGATTATGATCCTTTTCTTTTCTTTTTTTTTTTTTTTAAATAATATGCGTTATTAATAATTTTTCACGTGTACATTACAATAAAATACATTTTAAGTAAAATTCCCGATTGATGAAATTCCGTATTTCTACGTACATAAATCCAAAAAAAAAAAAAATTTTTTTCGGTTAAAAGTCCATACAAAAGAATCATTATGAATTTAAATTTCCTTTTTTTTTAATTTGTTGTAATTATAAAAAATAATGTTGTTGTTGTTGTTGTTTTTTTTTTTTCAAATATTTTGTTTACTTATTTCCTTTTAAAACCAATATTAATCATTTTTTTTTTTTTTTTTTTTTCAATTGAAATCTTTTTATAGTCATTTAAAGCATTACGAATATAAATTTTTATTGTAGTCAAGTAGGCCAACGATTTTATAATATAAAGAATCATCCACAAAAAAAAAAAAATTCAGGAAGGAACAAAATTTTTACTTTCATTTTCAAATCACCACACTTTAAAACTCAATAGCAAGTAAATAAGTCGCAAAATTAAATTATATTACGTAATGAAATATTCAAAAAGAAACGAAATAATGTAAAACCTTTTCCCCGCAAATATTATTATTATTATTATTATTATGTATTAACAAAAAAAAATTTTTTGTGAAAGTTTTTTTTAATATGATTTTGTTGATGCCAAAAAGGTGATGTCTCATAAAAAAATTTTTTTGTTGATATTTAATTTAAAATTAATTTTAGAAAAAAAAAAAAAAAAAAACAAAAAAATTTTTTTTAAAAATAATTAAAAATATTTAATTCCGCCATTTTTGTAAAACAATTAGTAAAAAATTTAAATGATGATTGTGTTTTTTGCAGTTCCTGGAATTCCCTGAGTGACAAGTTGGGGAGCAGTTGGAAGAATTTTGATTGGTAAATTCCAAATCATTGTTTCTATATTAAGAGAAGATGGTCCTTGCCATGTTTTATCATCTTTTTCATTCATTTCAATATCATCGTTTGAAATGGGTGTTAAACTAGTGACGAATTCAAAATGTAATCGCCATTGAAGACTGACTACAATTTCAAATTATTATCATCATCATTTAAAGAATTTAATTTACTTTTTTTTTTTTTAAATGAGAATTTATCTTTACCTAAATTAGTGTTGAAACCTGGAGTAATGTGAAATGGAATGGGTAATATTAATTGTAAATATTTCCAACTTAAACATATTTCATGTTGTTTGTTATACGAAACAATTGAAGGACCCTGTTTTACTGTTCGTTTATTATCTGCTTGCACTTCTTCTTCGCTTTGAAGAGTGACAGAATACTAAAAAAATTAATTTATTATATTTTAAAAACCTTAATTTAATGGTTATCATTTATAATTTAAAATTTAAGTACCTGAACGCATTGAACAGTTGTATCTGTAAAATCAAAAGTTCCAACGATATCTTCACCTAATTTATAAGCTTGCTTAAATAAACAAAATCTTGCAACTTTTCCATGGATATTAGTTATATTATAAAAATTAGGATTTCTTCTCGCTGTTATGTTCTAAAAAAAATACAAATTATCATTAATGATATTTTAAATTTCATTTATTTATTAAATTTAAAAATTAAGTGTGCATAATTACTTGTAAAATTTGTAAAGTTATTTCTAATGGCGAGTCTTTTTTTTCTTTTTCCAAAAATGGATTTGTAGGCATTAAATCTTCACTGTCATTGCATCCACTTGAATCTGAAATACCTGTAAAACAGAATTTCATAATTAAATAATTATTTTTTTCAAAACTATTGTTTAATTATGAAACTTTGAATGAAAAAATATATACCGCTGATAGATAAAACTCTAAATGGTATTCTCAACAATTTGATTGGAGAATTTATTCGTTGTGTTCTATGGTATTTTATATGAATATTTAATAGCTTGACCTCTGTATGATGGCGGTGCTTCACTCGGTATGACTTCCCTATATAAAACTAAATTTTTTAAATTTTATTTTGTAGAAAAAAATTACACCTAATTAACCGAGTCATTGATACAGAAAAAAAAAAAAAAAAAAAAAAATTATTACATGATTTGCTTTCTCCTGTGGCTAATCTCAGATCACAAAAAAGAATTTTTGGTTTTGTCGATAAAACAACATAACCACTATCGGTTTTACATGGTGCAAATGAAGTATCTAAAAAAAATTTTAAAAATTAAATTTTTTATTTCTAAGAATTCATCATTGTTTATTTTTTAAGTAGGATACCTGTTTGAGTGTTCAATGTGAGAGAATCATTGTCTGAATTTTGTTGATTTTGAATCAATTTGCTATTAGTTGTACATTGACAATGAATTTGAGCTGAGGCTAAAGCTAAATTTTCTATAACATCACTAAAAATAATAAATTTATATTCAAAATAAAAGCTTTCTTTTATAATTTGAATTAAAATCATTAATTTAATTTTTTTTTTTTTTACAGATACCTGCTACCATGAAATTTTTTATGATTTGGATAAGGTGGATTTGAAAAAGTTATATAACATTCCACAACTTCACCAGCCAAAAAAACAGAACCCTTTATTAATCGGGCACTTATTTCAATCATTTTTTTTTAAATTACTGATTACAAATCCCTTATGGAAACATTACGTGGAAATAGAAAACAAGTTTAAACGTCATTAAATTTTATGTTTATCATTTTTTTAAAAAAATAATTTATTTTTCTAATACAGTGAATTAATAAAGCCGTCGGTGAATGATAAAATTTAATTTATCAAATATTAATATTTTTTAACGTTTTAATAACGTATCATTTTTAAATCAATTATTTTTTTTTACAGCTTTTAATAAAATTGTAAAAATGGCGCGCAAAAATCAATTCGATTGTTTTTCTCAATAACTCGTTTTACACGACATTATTAATACTGTCGAGAATCACTTTTAACATTTACGTTTTTTAAAATATTTTTAAATTGTGTTTAATCGCATAAAAATAAGTTATTAATGTTCTTATATAAATAAAGATTAGTTATTTAAATAGTTTATTATTTTTCTTTTAGAGAAAATATGAAGAATGAAGAACTTACTACAGATAACTTTATCCAAAGGTGAGTTTTTTTTTTTTTTTTTTTTTATTTATGTAAGTTTTGTAAAAATTGAATTAAAAAAATTGTTTTAAACAAAGTCAATGTCTAAATAATTATTAAAATGTGAGAGAAAATTTCATTTAAATAATGATTTCAATCAATTTATTAAAAAAAAAAAAAAAAAAAATCACACTCTCTGGAATAATTTTGTTAGTAAAAACATGGCGGCTAAAAAGAGGGAAGTTGGATGTAAATGAATAACCGTTAAAAAAATTATTTCATAATAAAATTTTACTACCATAAAACGATTCAAAAGGATTTTGAAAACGCAAAAAAAAAGTGAAAAACTTTAATATTTTGATTTTCTCCATTTATTTTTCTTGTTGTTTTTATTTCTTTGTAAAATTGTATTTTATTTATTTACAAAAGATATTTTTGACAGTTTTTTTTTTTTTGTGTTGAATACTTTCCATTACGTAACGTTCGCGTTTTTTTTTTTTTTTTTTTTTTTTTAGCAGCTTTTGAATTAAAAGTGGGCCGATTTAATAACGAAAGTAACAAAAAAAAAAAAAAAAAATCCATTCATAATTTCTTTTTTTTTTTTTTTTTTGGATGAATAGTTGTTATGAATTTGTTGTCCTACTTAATGTCGTAATGATTACAAATAATAATAATAATAATAATTCATGGTAATTTTAATTAATGATTTTTCATATACCTAAAAAATTTAGAAAAATGGCTGACATTTAATTTAAAAAAAAAAAAAAACCATATTTATTTTAAAATTATTTGAAAAGTTTCTTTTTCTTTGTTAAAAAAAAAATCAAAAATTAAAATTAACAAAAATTAAAATAAATTTTCAATAACTTCCCTCCCCCCCTCCAAAAAAAAAAAAAAATATTTACAGAAAGTTTTCTTTTTTTTTTTTTTAAAATTTCTTTTTTTTTTATTATAATAATTCGATTATGCGTTAAATTAATAAAATTTCTTATGCAATTATTATTATTATTATTATTATTATTATTATTATTCATAACCGTGTGCCTTAAAAAGATATTAATAATAATA